GTGCCGGTCAAACTTGACAATTCGTTTAGGGACGGAGGAAATATGATACTCTATTGAAACCGACATACCATGGGCATGATATAATGGTTTCATAATATAATTTGTGATCGCCTTGGTGTGACCTAACCCTAACCAAAATGAACCAATCGATTCAAACATTATTCTCACAATGACAAATTGAATACAAATAAATTCTAAAATTTCACTATCATAAATTAATTATTTGCCTCGACCAGAATTTCTAACATAAATTGCCCTAATAAGTTAGAAGTAAAAACAGTTTAAAATTTTAAAATAGAAGTACTGTATTCACTTCTCAAAATAAGAGCAATTCCCGAAATACTTGAAATGTATTGCCAACTATGATATAATTACACACATATTACTATGGTTGGAGAGTTGTACGTATTGCCAAAATATGATTCCAAGATATGAGAAGGTGGTGGAGTTGTTATGAAAAGTGTGCTTATAAGTAAATTATGTGGTTGATATTGAATTGATAAAATTGAAGTAAAGTAAGAATGATTTAGAATCACACAAATTTTACCAAATTTAGAGCCCGTTTGGAGACCACTTTTTTCGGCTTATCAGGCTTATCATCCAGCTTTTTCACCAAACACGTAACTTTTACTTTCGTGTGCTGAATTGTGTAATAAGCAGAAAAAGTAAGGTTGGAGTTACTTTTCTGGCTGTATTGGCTGAAGTTACTGCAGAGGACCATTTTAGCTATTTTACATGTAATTTTTTATTTAATTTATTAATAAAATATATTTTTAAAATATTTTTTTCTTGAATCAGCAGAATCAGCCAAAACGGCCACTTCAGCCAGAAGTTCATAAATTCCAGCAGAATCAGCCAAAACAACCGATTTTCGTGCTACCAAACGGGCTCTAAGTAAATTATGTGGTTGATATTGAATTGATAAAATTAAAGTAAAGTAAGAATGATTTAGAATCACAAAAATTTTACCAAATTTAGTATGAAACAATCTTAGTGAGACGTACCGAAAAGGATATGTGAGACAAATTTAGCGGGACGAAGGGAGTAATTTTTATGAAAGATTACTAAAGGGGTCAAATCCACACTACTACATATTACCTTACCCATTGCTAATAATCCTAATTATTGATTATTCTTGGTTGATCCCAACTATAGGGGTCATCTCCCCATAGTAGTTCCTCGTGACTGGTCACCGATTGTCCAAGATAAAAAAGGATACCTGTTTATAGGAATTCAAACAATGATTGATCCATTTTTAGTAGCCCCGATATAATAAATCGATAACATTGAAAAATAAATCGAAAAATATAGATTACTCCATCCTTATCTATTAAATTGCCACACACACACACACATCACTACGGGAAAATACACATTTAATATCGGTTAAAATGGATTTTAATGTCCGTCATGATCCGAAATTGTATCAACCATTATTAAAAGTGGTATACTTTTTTATGTTTTTTGTAAATTATTTTATTTATGTATACATAACTTTGCTTACCTTTATAAATTGGGAAAAATAATTAAAATACCCCAAACGTTGAAGGGGTGTGAGATTAACACCCCAAACTTGCATATGTATTTTAAATACCCCAAACTTTATATAAAAATTTATTTTGGCACCACAATCAAGTATAATTTTTTTCAAAAATGTAAATTTATGGTGTTAATTGCATAATTTAAAAATAATTTAGAATTCATGAAGACACAATTAACATTATAAACTTCCATTGTGAAATAATAATGTTACACCCAATCTATATATAATTGCTATACTTTTAATTTGCTATTTTAAATTATGCAACTAACCCCATAAATTTACATTTTTGAAAGAAATAATACATGATAATGTTGCGAAAATAACTTTTTATATAAAGTTTGGGGTATTTAAATTACATACACAAGTTTGGGTGTTTACTTCACACCCCATCAAAGTTTGAGGTATTTTTATTAATTTTCCCTTATAAATTTTATACTTCTTATGCTCTGTCATACGTTTTCATTGTCATTTTAAGCTGATTACATTTTTTTTACAATTTCCATTATATCACTTAAAATTATAATATTAATACCTATCATTAAAAATAATCAAAATCTCGAAAAGTTATAGCCCAAATCTTTAAAACTAGACGATAAACTATATCATATAATTTATAGAATATACTTCCTCCATCTTGTAAAGGTTTGTCAAATTGACTTTTCTTGATAAATGACAAAATTGAAATTTTAGATTTTTATAATTAAGATATTTTTAAAATATACTCCAAAATTATTAGAAATTTAGATTTTTAGAAATTTGAATTTTCTTGGTCAATGACAAAATTGACTTTTCTTGGTTAGTGACAAAAATCTACATTCTAGAAATTTAGATTTTTAGAAATTTGCCAAAAGATTTTTAGAAACCTCCAAAAGTTATACCCCAAAATTTATAGAATATACTCCGTCCGTCTTGACAATACTGAGGGACGGAGGTAGTAATAATATAAAATAAAAAAGTAGAGAGAAATTAAAAATACTGAGATGGAAAAAATAGGAATTTAGATTTGTAGAATTAAGATCGCTAGTATAAAGCTCTAAATCCAAATTTTTTAATCGTATGATCCTTTTCTAAAGTAGAATGTGCCAATTTGAATCAAGGAAAATAATAAAAAATCATAAATTAGTAACACAACTTGAAAAACAATGGGAAAAAAGAAAAGAAAATGAATTTTTTGTTAAAATAAGATAAAATATGACTAAAAGATTTTATTTAACCTCTGTACATTTGTAGAATTTTCGTAATTATTTCATACATGTTTAAAAGTATGATATTTTAGTTAATTCTTTGCCTCAACACGAATTTCTAACATAAATTGCCCTAATAAGTTAGAAGTAAAAACAGTTTAAAATTTAAAAATAGAAGTACTATATTCACTTCTCAAAATAAGAGCAATTCCCGAAATACTTGAAATGTATTGCCAACTATGATATAATTACAGACATATTACTATGGTTGGAGAGTTGTACGTATTGCCAAAATATGATTCCAAGATATGGATAATTCTAAGCATGTAAAAAAGTAGAGCCGCAAGGACCTGACCTGGCCTGAGACAATTGGGGCAGGTCTGCCCGCCCTGTCCCATCTTGCAAATGGGACGGCTCCGCCTCGCCCATATATACAATGTACATGTGTATTAGTATTGACTTGTGTCGCACTGGTGCCCCGCTCCACTCAATAAGTTAGGAGTAAATTTTGTAATTATTTCATACATGTTTAAAAGTATATAGTTTGGATATTTTTGAAAATATTTTTACTCTTCCGAAAATTGAGACTTGATTATTGGAATTAATAAAAAAGATTGATTATAGTTGGGATTATTTATAATTTACGCTTAGTTTTCATTTAAAATTGACTTGCTATCACAAGTTGTAGCCGGTCACTAGAAAAAAATAGCTTTTTTGTCACAGATTTTTGTCACTGGTTCCTTCCTGACAAGTTTGTCACGGATTTTTTGAAACCGGCATCTTTATCCGATGAACCTTTTGTCAGGGATTAATCCGTGACAAAGCGTTGTGACAAATTTTTATCACGCCTAAACGGTCACGGAAAAAATCCGATCCGTGACAAAGTTTTTTGTCACAGATATTTTTAATTACGGTCCATGACAAAATCCGTGACAAACTCCCTATTTTTTTTTAATACGTGGGTTAAAGACTATTTTCAAATGATCCATATAATTGAGACCACCCAAAAGTAATCGATAATTTGTATTCAATCCATTGATGAATTCTCATTTTGCTCGACCTTGTTGAAACAAAACTTAAAAAGGTGAAAATAAACTACCAGGTACAGTTTTGTTGCTAATCAAGTTTCTCATATATCCAGCAGACAAATAGTACATGTAGCAAAACAGCATGCATGGTCAAAATTGATACAAAAAATAATGCTCGGTGAAATATTGTTTGTCATATAATATATATAATAAACAATGTAAGGAACACTATAAACAAATATTATTGTTATACGTGCACAATGTCCCCTAGCTTCTTCTTGAGATCACCTATAAATGAACTGCGTTTGTGAACCAATTCCATCATAACTCATAAGCTAGCCACCAAAAAACATACTCCTTATATATATTTATATTATTCCCTAACTTAATTAGCTTGAAAACAAGCTAATTATAGCATCAAGCCACGTACATAAATATACATATATCCACACATATATAAATATATCTTGTAACCTACATAACTACACAGCTAGCTACTATACTATCATAAACATGTTGCCTAATAACAATAAAAACAAAATAATACTTGTTACGATTTTCATTACTTCTCTTGGCTTGTTCTTTTCCCAAAGTTGTGTGAGCGCTACCGGCAGCTTCAGTCTGTCAACCTATGGCAAATGTGATGGCAAAACTGATGATACTACCGTAAGTTTTTAATGGAATTATAAATTAATACTCACTTCGTCCCCTATCTTTATTAATTTCATTTTACCTTTTTAGTTCGTCCCACTAAAAATCATTTTTATCTACCATGTCGTCTAGTGTGTGCTTGCATAAAAAAGAGAGAAGCCAATATAAATAAGGAGATAGATGCTCTAATATTTTAGGAAAACTTCTCTCATAAATTGGCTTTCCTTGTACTTTTAATATTCTTTTTAATTTATGGGATCACAAAAATCGTCTTACCTTGTAAAAATCAACCGCCAAGAAATTAGCCCAAACATGTACTTCTATGGATTGACCATAGGGTCCATGTATAGCACAATTCTCAAATATGAGTATCGCTATTTTTCTCCCAAAATAGGATTCAATGTACTCCTAGAATGGTAGCTAGTTTGGTAAGTTTTATTCTTTTCTTTTTTTAATTTAATTGTACTAAATAATTCCTATTTTGAAGAAAAACTTACTAAATATCATTTGAGAATTGTGTCTATATGTTACAATAATTTCTTTTTATAAACCAAATATATAACATTCCAAATGTGGATGCACGTATGCGCACAGTCATTCCTAAAGGCATGGGGAGATGCTTGTGCAGCAGGGTCCCCAATGGAGGTACCCGTTGGAAAGACGTGCCTTGTCGGTGAGATAACATTGGAAGGGCCATGTGGAAAAGGCTTTGCACTTCAGGTATGTATGCTTGTGTATATATATATGCCACTGTTTATATTACCAAAATTATAGAGGCCGTAAATATGTTTGTCTATTTGAACAAAAATATGATTAATTATTGTCATTAGTAGATTTTAGATGTGAATAGAATTAATTAATAAATGCATGCATGTACGTAGGTAAATGGTGAAATCCTTGCTCCGGCTAAAGGCTCGTCACAATGGACCGGTAGTCTTCAATGGTTCAATATTAAAGGTGTGAATGGGTTTACGTTGGGTGGTACCGGAAGCTTTAATGGTAATGGAGCAGCCTGGTGGACTAAGGCTGAAGATGACGACTCTCCAAACAACAATCTATTTGTTGATCAAAAAACTTCAGGGACCAAGCCAACGGTATGCTAACTACTACTGCTAGTAATTACTACTGTCCTTTTTATTGAAAAAATATCATTTTTCTGACCGATATTACTCCTTAATCACCTTACTTCCCCTCTCTTATTTTTAACTGACCAAGTTCAGTATTGAAACAAAACTACTATCATTGTGCTGTTTTAATGACCAACATTATATAGTGCATAATAATCTTATTGCCCTCTCCTATTTTAACTGACCAATGTCACTACGTAAACAAAATTACTATCATTTTATTCTTTTAATGACCAATTTTACTGCATAACCAACTTACTGCCCCTCTTTTCATTAGTTTTTATTGTTTTGCATTAAACTATTGCCCAACCATTCACTTTCTACTTCCTACCGCTTTTGATTCTTTACAAAATTACGCCTTATTGCTTTGAATCTTGACCCCTTATTTTACTTTTGAAAACATCTATGAAGTGTGTAATGTCCACATTCTGGTAATAATGCCTTAAATTTGTATCCTCACTGCACTGCTCCACCGTCACCGGAGTGGTGTTGTCCTTCGTCTTTACTGCATCCATTGCTCCACCGTCACCAAACGCCGGTGTCGTTATTCACTGCTGCATCGAATCCACTGCTCTGCTTTACATCCAAACTCCTTTTTTGTTTAAACTCTACAAAGACAAACACGTGATGGCAATCAAGTCATTTTATTTGGAGTTTAAGAGACCGATACTCATGTACAATGAATTTTAGTCATACTTCCGTCAAACAAGTTTTTTAGTCATAATATGGGAAAGTCAATGTCTTTTACTCATATAGTCGTATTTTTCCCAATATATATATGCAGGCCGTCCGATTTTATGGATCGACCCAGGTAACAGTAACTGGAATCGAAATAAAGAACAGCCCTCAGGCGCACCTCAAGTTTAATGGTTGCACCGGTGTGAATGTCAACAACGTTAAAATTACTTCACCGGGGACCAGCCCCAACACAGATGGAATTCACCTACAGAACTCCAAGAGCGTTACCATTACAGGCACAACTATAGCATGTGGTACGTGCGTGCGCATGTACATATATAAGGAGTATACTCGATCGATCATGCATGCATATACTTATATAATTATCATCAAAACATATATGCATCATCTGATGTATTGCAGGAGATGACTGCGTATCCATACAAACGGGATGTAGTGATGTCAATATACAGAAGTTGACATGTGGACCTGGTCATGGAGTTAGCATTGGAGGGCTTGGTAAGGGTGGTACTCAAGCATGTGTCTCAAACATCAAAGTTAGTGACAGCACTTTTACAAATACATTAACCGGTGGGAGGATAAAGACATGGCAGGTAACATACATACACATCCATGCATACATACTTCAATAAAAGTGAAAATGATCAATCCTTTTGGGACGGAGGTAGTAAGTCCTATTTGCCTATTTGGGGAACAAGGATGTTTTTACTTGGACTTTTTTGAGTCCCAGACCAGACGAGATGGATAATTATATAATACACAAAGACCAAGATCTGAAATTTCAATCCAAGTAAAAACATGCTAAAACATAATGAGCGAGTCTTATTTTTGAACTTTGCGTGCGTACGTTTTATTTAGTCCTATATATATGGATCGATGATCAATTTATATTGATGATAATGGTGTTATATATAAAATAATTGTGATGCAGGGAGGAAAGGGATCAGCAAATGGAGTGACGTTCTCAAACATAAAATGTGTGGGTGTGGAGACGCCTATCATGATTGACCAGTTTTACTGTGACGGTGGAGGATGCCATAACCAAACAGGAGCGGTAGATGTAACAGACGTGACGTTCCAGGGGTTTACTGGAACATACACCACACAAGCTCTTCAATTAGCTTGCAGCGAGAGCATGCCTTGTTCGGGAATAACATTATCGGCCATAGATCTCAAGCCTCAAGGAACAAAAGTTGTCGCTCCACTCTGTGAAGACTCGTACGGAACAACCGCCGGAGCAATTACTCCAGCCATCTCCGGTTGCTTGAAGGCCGGCACCGTAGCAAAGAAGAATGCTAATGCTTGCACATGATCGGTGCATGAATGCATCATCTTCCATCAATATATATAACCGGCCGGCCAATCTCACATCTATCTTAGCTTTAATTTAACTATAATCAATCAAAACTAATTAAATAATTAAATAAGTACCATGTATCCTCATCTAGCTACTTTGAAGCTAGCTTTTATGTATATTGATGATCATAATAATTAAATAAGTTTGCATTATCATTTTGCACTTCCCAACTTCCTTGTGTGTCTCATACCCTACTTGCTACTTTCTCCGTTCCCTTTTAATTAAAACAGTCCACTTTGCCAACACACAAGTTTGATAATTAATATTTTTAATTCCTTATAAGTAAACAATTTAAATAAAATCAGATTTTGAAAATTCAGAATGAGAGGAATTTAACAATATTTTTTATAAATTTAATTTATAATACATTAGTAAATAAAATATAGTCAAAGTATAATACATGAATAGTGCAAAAAGTCCAATGTTGCAATTAAAAGAGAACGAAACCGAAGCCTCTGGGGGGATTTTCTAACGGTTTCTTTCTTTCTTTCTTTCTTCCTAACCCCACGCCGGAAATGGATGCTCAACCTGTCAAGCGCATAACTTCCTCTTCGCCCGGCAAGGTTTAAGAGGCTTCCAAATCTTTGAAAAAAACATGCAAGTATATATGTGTGAATTTAATATACTTCTTTGTTATTTTTAAAATTTCTAGTTGTAAAACTGAATTGAACTTCCAAAACTTGAATTCCAATTCCGCCACTGGCTGCAACAACCACCTAATCTCATCACCTCCCTCCCACCTAAGGCTTCTACTTCGTCCGGAGATCTTCAAGACACTGTAACGAACCCGTGCTCGCTCAAAAGCCCTAATTTTGAATTTCATGGAAGAATAAATAGGAAGGTATAAATTTGTAGTGAGTGGATAAGTGGAAGAAGAGAGAAGAGGGGGGAGAAGTTTACTGGAAACGGTGGCTGGAAATGGGGGGGAGATGGAGGAGTTGGTTGCAATGGGACGATGCTCCGGAACGGGAAAGGAGTAGGAGAAAAAGAAAGAGAAGAAAGAAAAAAGAAAGAGGAAGAAAAGAAAAAGTAAAAAAAAGTAAAACTAAAAAAAGTCACTTGGACATTCCACGTAGGCAGTCAACCAGGAAACCGGTTGATTTATGAAATAGTCGATTTGGTTATTTTTTAACAGATCACAGATTTAATTGATTCGTTTAAAAGTATGTGGACTCAATTTACTATTTGTTGAAATTACATGGACTTTATAGTTTTCTCATAAAATAATGATAGGCCCATTTTGTGAACTTTATCTTTATTTTAGTCCTATGTAGAGAATTTTCTCAAATATATGTAGGGACGGATCATGTACAAACCCATGTGCTTATTTTGCAAACGTTTATACCACGCATCTTTACATTATTTGTATTGCATATTGAGATTCAAAGTGTTGCATATTAACGTTCAAAACGTTAATATGAAATTGTACGCCTAAAAAAGTTGGCTCTTTTTATTACAAAAATATCACCATGTCTTTATATCCTTTAGATTAACTCATCGGATGTCCAAGATGATCGAGTTTGTAGTTTGTAAATTAAAGAGGGTTTGTATTTGATCTCTAATATATACTCCGTATATAGGGAGCGGTTCCAATGAGAACCACTACCAAAAAAACTCGTTATAGGCACGGTTTGTTGGAAAGGAAACGTTCCGTTCCTAATTTGGCTCGGTTGTTGGCTCGCAACAGCTAAATATCATGTTTTGGCGCGGAAAAGTTGACGTCAAATGAAATTTCGTGATTGGCACGGAACATCCGTGCCAAAGACCGACCCAAAGACGAAAACACCAAAAAAGTTTAGATAGGAATCGGATCCGATCCAAAATCCATTTCTAATTGCGTCGGTTACGGAACAGCGCGAGACAAGAATCCGAGACAAAATCCATTCCAAAACTGGGAAAAATCATATATTCGGATGAAATATAGTATGGCGGGGAATACATCCGTGCCAACATCTTCCTTGGCAACATCCGTGCCAAAAAGTATCAGTTGTTACTTTCAAAAATTCCGCTTCCAAATGTAGCCGTTGATTTCCGAAACATACTCCATCCCAAAAGTACCCGTTATCTACGGACATTTTGAAATTTCGTGCCAAAAACCTTGCCAAAAAATTCTATATATAGAACACATCTTATTATGTATTCATTCATTACATTCTTATTAATAAGTGGTGATGAATTTCCAAGAATATGGAAAGTGGTATTATTTTCTATTTTCCATGTGGTTGAAGTATTTATATTTGGATTTCTTAAGGCTGAAGATGACGACTCTCCAACCAACAATCTATTTGGTGATCAAAAAACTTCAGGGACCAAGCCAACGGTATGCTAACTACTATTGCTAGTAATTAATACTGTCCTTTTGATTGAAAAAATATCATTTTTCTGACCGATATTACTCCTTAATCACTTTACTTCCCCTCTCTTATTTTTAACTGACCAAGTTCACTATTGAAACAAAACTACTATCATTGTGCTGTTTTAATGACCAACATTATATAGTGCATAATAATCTTATTGCTCTCTCCTATTTTAACTGACCAATGTCACTACGTAAACAAAATTACTATCATGTTATTCTTTTAATGACCAATTTTACTGCATAACCAACTTACTGCCCCTCTTTTCATTAGTTTTTATTATTTTGCATTAAACTATTCCCCAACCATTCACTTTCTACTTCCTACCACTTTTGATTCTTTACAAAATTACGCCTTACTGCTTCGAATCTTGACCTCTTATTTTACTTTTGAAAACATCTATGAAGAGTGTATAATGTCCACAGTCACCGGAGTGGTGTTGTCCTTCGTCTTTACTGCATCCATTGCTCCACCGTCACCAAGCGCCGGTGTCGTTATTCACTGCTGCATCGAATCCACTACTCTACTTTACATCCAAACTCTTTTTTTTTGTTTAAACTCTACAAAGACAAACACGTGAGGGCAATCAAGTCATTTTATTTGGAGTTTAAGAGAGCGATACTCATGTACAATGAATTTTAGTCATACTTCCGTCAAACAAGTTTTTTAGTCATAATATGGGAAAGTCAATGTCTTTTACTCATATAGTCGTATTTTTCCCAATATATATATGCAGGCCGTCCGATTTTATGGATCGACCCAGGTAACTGGAATCGAAATTAAGAACAGCCCTCAGGCGCACCTCAAGTTTAATGGTTGCACCGGTGTGAATGTCAACAACGTTAAAATTACTTCACCGGGCACCAGCCCCAACACAGATGGAATTCACCTACAGAACTCCAAGAGCGTTACCATTACAGGCACAACTATAGCATGTGGTACGTGCGTGCGCATGTACATATATAAGGAGTATACTCGATCGATCATGCATGCATATACTTATATAATTATCATCAAAACATATATGCATCATCTGATGTATTGCAGGAGATGACTGCGTATCCATACAAACGGGATGTAGTGATGTCAATATACAGAAGTTGACATGTGGACCTGGTCATGGAGTTAGCATTGGAGGGCTTGGTAAGGGTGGTACTCAAGCATGTGTCTCAAACATCAAAGTTAGTGACAGCACTTTTACAAATACATTAACCGGTGGGAGGATAAAGACATGGCAGGTAACATACATACACATCCATGCATACATACTTCAATAAAAGTGAAAATGATCAATCCTTTTGGGACGGAGGTAGTAAGTCCTATTTGCCTATTTGGGGAACAAGGATGTTTTTACTTGGACTTTTTTGAGTCCCAGACCAGACGAGATGGATAATTATATAATACACAAAGACCAAGATCTGAAATTTCAATCCAAGTAAAAACATGCTAAAACATAATGAGCGAGTCTTATTTTTGAACTTTGCGTGCGTACGTTTTATTTAGTCCTATATATATGGATCGATGATCAATTTATATTGATGATATCGGTGTTATATATAAAAAAATTGTGATGCAGGGA